AGGGAAAGGAAGGGAAAGGAAGGGAAAGGAAGGGAAAGGAAGGGAAGGAAGGGAAAGGAAGGGACAGGAAGGAAACGGAAGGGAAAGGACGGGAAAGGAAGGGAAAGAAAGGGAAAGAACAAGATGCAGCCCACGAACCCGAATGCTCACACGTATGTTAATGGTGGTGATGTCGAAACACATGGATATGCAGTCACGCAGAGCACTTTTCTGCAATAGTTTATTTGAACAGTCTTGTATATACATATTTCCCCTGTTACCAGTCTGCAGTGTGGAGTGGAAAGTGTAGAGTGTGGAGTGCAGAGTGTAAAGTGTAGAGTGCGGAGTGTGGAGTGTAAAGTGTAGACTGTGGAGTGTGGAGTGAGGAGTCTAAAGTATAAATTGTGGAGTGTGGAGTCTAAACTGTAAATTGTGGAGTGTGGAGTGTGGAGTGGAAAGTGTAGTTTGTGGAGTCTGGAGTGTAAAGTGAGGAGTGTGGAGTGTAAAGTGTGGAGTGAGGAGTGTGGAGTGTGTAAAGTGTAGAGTGCGGTGGAGCGTGGTGGAGCGTGGTGGAGTGTGGTGGAGTGTGGTGGAGTGTGGTGGAGTGTGGGGTGTAGAGTGTGGAGTGTGGAGGAGTGTGGAGGAGTGTGAAGTGTGGAGTGCAAAGTGTAAAGTGTGGAGTGTGGAGTGAGGAGTCTAAAGTGTAAATTGTGGAGTGTCGAGTGTAAAGTGTAGAGTGTGAAGGGGGAGTGGAAAGTGTAGAGTGTGGAGTGTGGAGTATAAAGTGAGGAGTGTGGAGTGTAAAGTGTAAAGTGTGGAGTGAGGAGTGTGTAAAGTGTAGAGTGTGGTGGAGTGTGGAGTGTAGAGTGTGGAGTGTGGAGTGTAGAGTGTGGAGTGTAGAGTGTAGAGTGTGGAGTGTAAAGTGTAGAGTGTAAAGTGTGGAGCGCATTGTTGCGCCAGCCTTACAAAAGAACCTATGACACGGTATAAAACACGTTGGAATGTCACAAAGCGTCACCCCTGCCACGGAAAACGACATGACAACCTGCTTGGAAACCTTCGAAGAAAAGGAGAGATTTTGCAGCTTCCCCCATAGACGCGGCGACGCCACAGGAAAACCAGAGACTCGAGACGAGACACGTGGGCGGAGCAAAACGAGCATTTCGTGCGAGATTTCCTCCAATTTTGACACTGTCGACTGTTATTAAACAGGTTGGAATGTCACAAAGTGCCATGCCTGCCATGCAACCTGCTTGGAAACCTTCGAAAAAGAAAGGTTTGCAGCTTCCCCCATAGACACGGCGACGCCACGGGAAAACCAGAGACTCGAGACGAGAGACGTGGGAGCATCAAAACGAGCCTTTCGTGCGAGATTTCCTCCAATTTTCACACTTTGTAGCTTCAAAATCGACGTTTTCCTGCGAGTTTTCATAGGAGCCTCTAAGTTTTTGCTACCTGTTTCGTGCGAGGCTTCCGTCAATTTTCAGCACATCTCACAAAATGCATCAAAATGCCACGCCTGCCACGGAATCTGCACCTTGTCGCCACTTGACGCAGCCCTGCCAATGCGATTCGCAAAAAACACGCAACACGACGCGTCTAAAGTGTTGCGCCTGACACGCAAAATGACGATGGACACATCCAAATGCTGCGCCTGCCACGAAAACTGCAACGCATCTTCTGAAAACGTCGCAAAATATTGTGCCTGCCACACAACATGATTTTTTCGACGCGCTACAAAACACGTCTGAATGTCACGAAGTGCCACGCCTGCCATGCGAAACGAAGCAACGCGACGTGGGAAACGCAAAAATGACCCTTCTGGAGAACTTACCATAGGCACGGCCATATAGCAATCGCGCGGACGGTTGCGAATGGTTGCGGACGGTTGGGCAACGTCGAGCGAACACACGCTCAACCCCCAGACCCCCAGAGTGAAACGGGAACCCTTGCTACGCATTCGGGAAAGAAAGGGAAAGGAAGGGAAAGGAAGGGAATGGAAGGGACAGGAAGGGAAAGGAAGGGAAGGGAAGGGAAAGGACGGGAAAGGAAGGGAAAGAAAGGGAAAGGAAGGGAAAGAAAGGAAAAGAAAGGGAAAGGAAGGGAAAGGACGGGAAAGGAAGGGAAAGGAAGGGAAAGAAAGGGAAAGGAAGGGAAAGAAAGGGAAAGAAAGGGAAAGGAAGGGAAAGAAAGGGAAAGGAAGGGAAAGAAAGGGAAAGAAAGGGAAAGGAAGGGAAAGGACGGGAAAGGAAGGGAAAGGGAAAGGAAGGGAAAGGAAGGGAAAGAAAGGGAAAGGAAGGGAAAGAAAGGGAAAGAAAGGGAAAGGAAGGGAAAGGACGGGAAAGGAAGGGAAAGGGAAAGGAAGGGAAAGAAAGGGAAAGAAAGGGAAGGAAAGGGAAAGGAAGGGAAAGGAAAGGAGAGGTTGATTTGGAAATCAGCCGCCGTCGCATGACCGTGCTCAAATGAGCTTGCTTGGCTATTGCACACTGTCACTCAATGTTTCTGTGCAGCGCTGAAAAAAATGAAATTTGCAGCGAATGCGTCCATAATGTTCATCTTCTAAAAAGAAGCTGGCAAGAGGCGAAGCGGAAATACATAAATTATTACTCAAATTTGTTTGCTGTCGTTTTGCTTTTGGGTTCTCAGGCCCCCCCTTGTTTGTGACATTCTATTTGGCATGTCTTCTGACATTCTATCTGGCATATCTTCTGACATTCTTTCTGGCATTCTATCTGGCATATCTTCTCACATTCTGTCTGGCGTATCTTCTGACATTTTATGTGGCATATCTTCTGACACTCTTTCTGACATTCTATCTGGCATATCTTCTGACATCTTTTCTGGCATTCTATCTGGCATATCTTCTCAGATTCTGTCTGGCATATCTTCTGACATTCTATCTGGCATATCTTCTGACACTCTTTCTGGCAATCTATCTGGCATATCTTTATGCATTCTTTCTGGCTGATAAAGCGCGGCGGTGCCCAGTGCGATCTGGAGCTCCCGGTAGAAGTCCGGCAGATGAAGTCCGGCAATGTTCAGTGCGATCTGGAGCGCCCGGTAGCAGCCCGGTAGTGCCCAGTGCGAGCTGGAGCTCCCGGAAGAAGTCCGGCAGTGCCCAGTGCGATCTGGAGCTGTCAGATGCAGTTCGGCAATGCTCAGTGCGATCAGTCCTCTTTCCGTTTCAAGTCCTTTCTTCTAGTTTGAAGTCTTGTCTTTCGTTCGAAGTCTCCTCTTTTCGTTTCAAAGCCTTTCGTTTCGAGTCCTCTCTTTCGTTGGAAGTCCTCTCTTCGTTTCAAATCCTCTCTTTTGTTTCGAAGTCCTCTCTTTTGTTTCGAGTCCTCTCTTTCGTTTCAAATCCTTTCTTCTCGTTGGAAATCTTGCCTTTCGTTCGAAGTCTCCTCTGTTCGTTTCAAGGCCTCTCTTTTGTTTCGAATTCTCTCTTTCGTTGGAAGTCCTCTCTTCGTTTCAAGGCGTCTCTTTTGTTTCGAATTCTCTCTTTCGTTAGAAGTCCTCTCTTTCGTTGGAAGTCCGCTCTTCGTTTCAATTCCTCTCTGTCATTAGAAGTCTTTTCTTTCGTTGGAAGTCCTCTCTTCGTTTCAAATCCTCTCTTTTCGTTCGAAGTCCTCTCTTTCGTTTCGAGTCCTCTCTTTCGTTTCAAATCCTTTCTTCTCGTTCGAAGCCTTGTCTTTCGTTCGAAGTCTCCTCTTTTCGTTTGAAGGTCTCTCTTTCGTTGGAAGTCCTCTCTTCGTTTCAAATCCTATCTTTTCGTTCGAAGTCCTCTTGTTTGCTTGAAGCCACGTCTTCCTTTAGAAGTCTCCTCTGTTGTGGCTGGCTGGCTGGCTGCATCGGCCGCTGTGGCTGGCTGGCTGGCTGAATCGGCCGCTGTGGCTGGCTGGCTGGCTGGATCGGCCGCTGTGGCTGGCTGGCTGGCTGGATCGGCCACTGTGGCTGGCTGGCTGGCTGGCTGAATCGGCCGCTGTGGCTGGCTGGCTGGCTGGCTGAATCGGCCGCTGTGGCTGGCTGGCTGGTTGAATCGGCCGCTGTGGCTGGCTGGCTGGCTGCATCGGCCACTGTTGCTGGCTGGCTGGCTGAATCGGCCGCTGTGGCTGGCGGCTGGCTGGCTGAATCGGCCGCTGTGGCTGGCTGGCTGAATCGGCCGCTGTGGCTGGCTGGCTGGCTGGCTGAAAACGAATACCGGACCCAATCGCGCTACCAATGCAATGTTAAAAACTGACGGTCTCGGACCACTTTTGGAGGTTCAGATGTCGAAAAAGTGTCGAAAAAGTGCACGCCGTTGCGGCGCGAAGCACATTTCGAAGTCATCAAAAGTGTAAAAAACTGAGGGTTTTGAGCCTTTTTTGACGTGAAGATGTCGAAAAAGTAGACACTCATTAACTTAACTAACTTGACTAACTTCACTAACTTAACTACCCTAACTTCGACGACAACAGCAACAGCAACAGCAACAGCAACAACAACAACAACAACGACAACAACAACCACAACAACAACAGCAACAACAACACCAACCACAACAACAACAACAACAACAACAACAACAACTACAACTACAAATGCAACTACAACAACTACACAACAACTACAACTACAGTTGCAGTACATCACACTACATCCAGCAGTTGTGGGTGAGGTGACCACTGCAACCATTGCAACCATTCCAGCAAACACAACTCCAACCACCTTTCGGTCAATCAGTGGATTCGCTCTGCCATCCCTGATTCACAACAACCAACTTCTCCTATAGGTTTCCTATTTTTGAAACTTCCGCCACCGCCTTGTGCGGTACTACTGGTATGTATATATATATATATATATTTATAAATCACTGTATCCATTTGGGGGGAACCCGCCATTTATGGAAACCTCCCTATGGATTGTCTGACCTTTCTCACCGAAGGAGGAGTTCTTGCAACAGTGAAAACAGCAGAACCAACCCCCAGGACTCAGTGGTTTTGCAACCTTTTCATAGCCACATGGCTTCTGTAACCAGCAAAACACTAGGAGGCAACCTGAGACCGGCACTTCTTGGCCGATAAGTCCACTGCTTTGGCATAGTCGATGAATTCCCAAATGCCATCAGAAGCAATCACCGCGTAGAACCTCGGACTTACACAAGTCTGAAATTTGGTGACAGTATGTGACAGTGCCCCAGATGAAACAGAACCCGGGAACAAACAAAAATAGACTGTGAGTAGGTTGAGGTATGTTCAAGATTGATCAAGTATGGTCAAGCTATGAGGCTTTAGCTTAGCAGTGCCAGCGAGTGCCAGTACCTGTAAAATCACATTACTTCCATGCGACGCGTCCCCAACCACTCAGGCACCCGATGAGCTCTGGAGTTTGGCACATTCATGAACAGGCTCATGACTGATTGCTGGTGTTGCTACAACTTGATATAACTTGATTCACTAGACTATCCCACAGATTATCCCACCATGTCGGGGCGAGAAACTCATCAGATGGCTGGACAAACATCTGGTGGTAGTGTGGTTCCTTCAGGTAAACGACAACAGAAACATGCAAAATGCTCAGATCATCCCCGGTGCTTTGACATATTCATCACCTGCACAGTGGCACTGAGTGCAGAAATTGTTGTCCTGCAAGACCCCAGCACAGGCTGTATCGCCGAAGGCACGGGACCTTCGGTGATTGGCTTGAAGCATTTGAAGCACTAAAGTGGCAATCATTTGGGGTGTCCAAGGAATCAGGTTACTCCCGTTCTGCCACAAACTCTGTGACCTCGTGTCTTCATTGTCACCAGCATTGTCAGCAGTTTATCAAGCTTTATAGTTTTTGGATTGTTTTCTTTCAAGTAGCCATGGGAGTTTTGCACCTCGGCCACCTGTTTCTTACGTTTCTTGAAGTGTGCCTTTCAACACCTGTGGGAATCCGAAAGTTCCACTTAAGTCAGCCCAGGTGCATGGTAAGTCCTGGAAAATTGGTGCCTTTGATGTAGATCCGGAAGCTTTCCACATCCACCTGGCCCCACAAAAGGTCATCCTTTCCGGAAACGACATCAAGTCACACGTGCATTGTGAAGGACACGCCGATAGAGGACAGCAAATTGGTCCTAAAATGTCCTAGATACAAAGCATTACAAAGCTATCAATTATCAAGCTTCCATTGCAGGTGTCCCACCAATCTCGGTGCATCAGGTCACAAACCTGGAATGCACTGTGAGATCCTCACTGGTTGTTCTATGGATGAGTTCTTCTTGCTTTTCAAACATCCACCTAAAACACCTTTGGCTTTCCTTACGCCATGCATCTGTCTATCAGCAACGTTCTAAGGTTGAGGGGCCTGTCGCACTTCACTGCCGGCAGCTTCTAACCGTTCGCGCTCTCCGGGGCTATCTGGCTTGTGATCCTCGCTGCATGGCAGTGGCCGCGATTCTGCTTCCAGGATGAGATGGCTATGTGGTCTTCCATGCCTGCAATAGCCTTCTAGAAAAACAGCAAGTGCCGGAAGATTTTCCTGCGTGACCCTGTAACTGAAAGAACACCAAGAGAGGCTGGAGGGTGTTCCAAGAGAGGCTGGAGGGCGTTCCTGGAGGGCGTTCCGTTTTGAGATATCGATCTCATTTGGCGCCCGTCTGGCATATTCGACGATGTCGACGATACAGCCTGATTTTAGTTTTCTCAATTACAGTTGAAACTACTAATCGGAATTGGCCTATGACAGACATTGGAACCACGGCTGGAGATCCGTCCTGCGTCCCATAGAGCACCCGCGAGTCATGACGATTCCAGGATGCAACGAGGCAACCTCCAGCGAGTTGAGTCAGCAAGGTCCGACACAAAAGTCCAATCGTGCAACACCTTCGCCGCAGTTACCCATGGTGTTTTGTACGCGGCATTTTTTGACACACATTTCAAATCTAGACATATCTAGAGAATGTAAGGCAATCATTGTGGCCATGAAAAGGATCGATCTATTTCATGAGCAAATCACCCTGGCCCATGCCGGAATATCTTGAATGAAGCACCCACCTGCATCGCCAATGTGCGCCACATGAATCGAAGGCCCCTGAACCAAAAA